CTCGCGCGGAAGAACAGGAGGAAGGAGCTGTTATCATTTTGCCCCGACCTGCGCGCTGGCTCCAAGGAGGCTCGGAGCGGCCCGCGCACGGGCACGGGTTCCGAAGGCGCGCCCGGCCGCCTCCGGCTTCAGCCCCCGCGGCCGTCGTCCACGTCCGCGTACCGGTAGGCGGCCTGGGCTGTACCCATCCAGGCGTTCTCGTCCACCTGCATGACGACGGACTCCCTGTCGAAGTGCACCGCCTTCTCGTTGGCCCGGTACCGGCCGCCCAGCGTCAGGGCCACCACCGCGGGCACCATCCCCTCGGCGCTCTGCCCCAGGCTCTCGACGGCGGAGTACTTCCTGGGCAGCCGGCGGCTGAGCAGGAAGGCAAGCGCGCAGTCTGTGAACGCGTTGCAATTCTTGGCGAGCACGTCGTACGTGCCAGGGCCGAAGTGGGCCCCCAGCCCGCGCAGGAGATCTGCTCCCGAGCGGCGGGTGTGGCCGACCTCGAACACTCGCGTGGCCAGCTTCTGCTCGTGCGAGGGGGGCACGGCAGAGCCATCCGCATGCAAGCGCTCCTGCACGCCCTCCGGGTTGAAGAAGTACTCCCGGCCGCCCAGCACGACGCTCGTGTGGTAGGCCTTCTGGCCGCCGAGCGCCCAGCCGCCCGCGGGCAGCGGCACCTGGGACACCGCGAGGCCCACTGGGCGGCTGCCGCCAGAGCTGCCCGCGCCGTGGGCGCACCCCCCGGGGGCCGGGGCATGGCCGCAGCAGGACGCCGCGAGGTCGGACGCGCAGCCGCCCATTCGCGGGGGAGGGGCGCTCGGCGCGCGCGCGGTGCTGCGGTCTCTGGCCAAAATGGCTGCGGAAGGGCGGGAGGGGGGAGGCGGGAAGAGGAGGAGGAGGAGGAGGGGTAGGAAAGCGAAGGGGGAGGCGGGGGGTTAAGGAGGAGGAGGAGGAGGAGGAGGAGGAGGAGGCGGGGGGGGGGAAGGAAGGAGGAGGAGGAGGAAATGGGGAGGAGGAAGCGAGAGGAAGTGAGGGGGGAGGAGTAAGAGGAGGAAGATGAGAAGGAATGTGAGGAGAGGAGGAGGAGGAGGAGGAGGAGGAGGAGGAGGAGGAGGAGGAGGAGGTAGAGGAGGAAGAAGTAGGACTGAAAAGAGGTAGGGCGAGAAGTAGGAGGAGGAGGAGGACGACGAAGAGATGGACGAGGAGGGCCAGAGCGAGCCCAAGATGCGTCAGCGACGCTGCAATACATCCTCCCCTGCCGAATCCCCTCTCGAGAAGTCCCTGCAGGCATTCTGCTTCGCTCCGCGATGCGGCCCCCCCCCTGTAAGACGCGACACCACTGGGCAGACGGGCGGTAGCTCGGGCCTGAAAAGGAGGCGCCATCCTCCATACTTCGAGTTACACGTTTAGGAGGAGGAGGAGGAGGAGGAGGAGGAGGAACTCCGACGAGTTGCCGTTTCTCCCATGTGTTCTTCGACGACTGCCTCGCCATGCCACCGGATGAGAACATGACGTTCAAAAGGCGGCGTCCAGCGGCAGCCTCTCTTCGAGAAGGAGCCGCCGCCATCCGCCCCGTGTGCCTGTTGCACACTTGCAGCCTTCTGGCAGTCAGGTCGACACAAATCTCGGGCGAGGGCCCACGTCCGAGAGGGTACCACCCTCCATCCGTTCAACTGTTGCTCCAGTGCGACTCAACTTCACACTGCGATGGGAGTGCCGTGAGGAAGGCTCAGACGAGAGCCCCATTGTGAAAACGATTCACCCTCCGCCCGTGCCACGGCTGGAAAACACAATTAGTTTAGGACGAGCGGGCGCGGCACAAAGTCGGGAGCCCCCTCGCTGACAACGCTCCGCCCCCCATCCGTGCAGATGCTGGAACTGTTTGAGGCGAGCGTGCGCGGCGCAGAGGCGAGGCCCACTTCGAGAACGGTTCGCCCTCCATCCCGTGCAGCTGTTGGGTTTGCTTCAAGACGAGCGCGTGCGCGGAGCCACGGCGAGCGCCCCCGTCTAGGAACGAGTCGCCCTCCGGCCACGTGACCCCCGGCTTGGCCCAAGGCAGGCCTGGCCTTCCGGGCGAAGAGAGATCCGCTCTGAGAAAACGGATCGCCCTCCATGCGCGCAGCTGTTGGCACGCAGGGCCTCCGCACGGTAGAGCGCAGGGAAATCTCAGGCGAAACGGCCCGCCCGCCCTAACGACACGTCTGGTGGCGCGAGTGGGACAGGATATGATATACGTATACCGATATATATATATAGAGAGAGAGAGAGAGAGAGAAAAAAAAAAAAAAAAAAACAAAAAAAAAAAAAAGGAAAGAGGGCTGGAGGAGGGCAGGGCCGCCAAGCTATGCACCAGCCCCACCCACCGACCTTCGACCCCGCCTTCTTTAGCACCTCCCTCCGCCGCCGCTCGGTCGATGCGTACGTTCCGCTGCTTACCTGTACTTGTGTTTCCCCCTCCCCGTGGCGTCGGTTGGGGGCGAGGGTTCCGCGGGGGTCGGTCGTGGCGACGGGCCGACCAGCAACGCGAACCTCGAGGGAGGAGGGGGGAGAGGAAGAGGAGCGAACGGCGCCTCCAGGGTCCCCCGCCCCCCGTCCCCAAACCCCGCACGCACACCACCAGAACCGCCCACAGAGCTCAGAGCTCCACCAGAGCGCCCGTCGAACACCCCCGACGAGCATGCTGCCCCTGCTGCCCCATCGCCCCCCGCCCCCCGCCCCCCCCTCGAGGCTCAGGCCCGCCCTGCGCCTCCGGGCGCCCCCGCCGGACGCGGGAAGCGGGACGCGCGAGCCTGCGGGGGAGCGGCGCGGGTGGGCCGCGGCCCTCTCCTGCCGCGGCGAGCTTCAAGACGCCCGCCTCCGGCTCCTTCCATACAGCGTTACTCGTGGCACGGTGCAGCCACGTACCGATCCCAACTGCGGTCGCACGCCACCGTGGCCGCACCGATCCCGACTGTGGTCGTGAGAGCCTCGGCCTCCAGAGGCCGTCGCAGGCATGCGGAGACCTCCGGGACCACGCGCGACCTCCCCCCCACGCGCGAAGGAGCGTGCGCGGCGGGCGGAGTGGTGATTCTGCCTCAACGCCGCGCAGACTTCCACTGGAATGCTGTGCCCCCGCTGGGGCCCGGCGCATGCTCTCCCCCATCCCCAGTGCTGTCAGAACCGGGGGCCACGCACGAACGAGCGTCGATCTCGCGCCGGCGACACACGAAGTCGTCCTCGAGACATTGCGATCCTGCTCGGGCGCGACGCGTGTCTTCCCCTCGCCAGCCTGTAGGGAAGCGAGGCCGCGTGCGCAGGAGCGACGTGCCGACTCCGCCTCCGCGCCGCGGTGGCTTCTCCTGCAGACTGCACTCCTGCTTCGGCGCTGCGCACACGGCCGATCCTGGACGCCCTGAACCAAAAAACAAAATGCCAATCCCTTGGGGCGGCTCCTCCTGCTCCTCATCCTCCTCCTCCTCCTCCTCCTCCTCCTCCTCCTCCTCCTCCTCCTCCTCCTCCTCCTCCTCCTCCCTCCTCCTCCTCCTCCTCCTCCTCCTCCTCCTCCTCCTCCTCTCCTCCTCCTCCTCCTCTCCTCCTCCTCTCCTCCTCCTCCTCCTCCTCCTCCTCCTCCTCCTCCTCCTCCTCCTCCTCCTCCTCCTCCTCCACCTCCTCCTCCTCCTCCTCCGCCTCCTCCTTTGATTTCCCAATCTCCGCCGCGTACCACTCTTACTTCCCAGCTTCCGCCGGCCCCTGCGCCGGCGGAGCCGGCCCCTGTCTTGCTTCCGATGCCCTCCGCCGCCGTCCGCCGAGGAGGAGATGCCAGCTCCCTCGACCCCCGAAGGGGAGACCCTGTCGTGGACGCGGGGGATCTACGATCCGTTACATAGAGGAAGACATGTTCCCTACCTAGGCTCTGCCTAGAAGGGTTCTTACCCTGTGTGCTTAAAGGGGCCAGGCAGTGTAACTCGCCCCGGGCGGTTCCCTCGGCATCCGCCCCGCGGTTCCCCCAGTTGCGCCCCCTGGGTTCACCCAGCTTAGCTTTAGCTTAGTTTAGCTTAGTTTAGTTTAGCTTATCTCATCTTAGCTTAGCTTAGCTTAGCTTAGCTTTGCCTAGCCTAGCCTAGCCTAGCCTAGCCTAGCCTAGCCTAGCTTAGCTTAGCTTAGCTTAGCTTAGCTTATATCATATTAGCTTAGATTAGCTTAGCTAAGCTTGGCTTAGTTTAGCTTAGCTTAGCTTATTTAGTCTAAATTAGCCTAGCCTAACTTAGCTTTGCTCAGCTTAACATAGCTTAGCTGACCTTATTTAGCTTAGCGCAGCGCAGCATAACGCAGCGCAGCATTAGCACAGCATAGCATAGCATAGCATAGCATAGCCAAGCATAGCATAGCATGGCATAGCATAGCATAGCTCAGCATAGCATAGTATAGCATATAAAAGCATAGCATATAATAGCATCGCATAACATAGCGAAGCGTATCATATCATAGTATAGCATAGCATTGCTTAACATAGCACAGCGCAGCATAGCATAGCATAGCACAGCACAGCCTACCATAGCATAGCATAGCATAGCATAGCATAGCATAGCATAGCATAGCATAGCATAGCATAGCATAGCATAGCATAGCGCAGCATATCATATCATAGCATAGCATAGCATAGCATAGCATAGAGCAGCATAGCATATCATAGCATAGCCCAGCATAGCATAGCATAGCGCAGCATAGCATATCATAGCATAGCCCAGCGTAGCATAGCATAGCGCAGCATAGCATAGCATAAGGAGAAGAAGGAGGACGGCGTTTACCGTTACTACTAATATTGCTCTCCTAGGGGCTCCAACTCCTAGGTAGGGTCGCTCTGGGATAATTGTTTCAGACGTTTGCGAGTCGGCACTTTGCGAGTAGTGGGACGCGCCGGGTGATGTCTGGAGCGCCCCGAAGTTCTGAGGTTCTTGCCGCTTTCGGCCTCTAGGGCCCCTCGCCAGGCCCCAGGACCGTCCGAACAGGATGAAAAAACGATCCAGGGGATG